AATAATTTTCGCAGCATCTTATTGTACCATCTACTTCTAATGAATAAAACACATTTCATATTTATTCGTGTTGTGTATATAATTATCTGTTAAACAGGTTTCCTGGATAATCCAAATGGAAAAATGCATTTATAATGCACAATAAATATACAAAATGTATTAATATATTGATATACATTTATTTTATGTAATAATTGTATTATGCAAAAAAAAATGTCAAAAAAGTTCGGGATTCGAACCCGCAACGTCGACGTTGCTAGTCAGACGCGCAATAATACCGCTGCCCCACAAGCTTTTCGATCAAACGATCTACTGAACTGGCTTATTAGGCGCTCGAAATTTTCAACTTTGATTTTTTCGCAAACGCTTGAGTAGTGACTATTAGTAGGGGAGGCCAAGCGGGGATTTTGGGATTTACTCTAGCGCGTCAGAATAACATAAAGGGGGAAAGCTTGCACCCTAATAAGTACCCCCACCACATATTAAACCTCTATATAGAGCCGGGGGTCCAGGGGAGCCCGTCAAATTAGTATCTAACTCGAGCGCGTCAGATTAAGGTATGGTGTGTTAATTACATGTAGAAAAGTGTACATTTCAATAATTTGACGATTTCAGCGTGACGTAAGGAAATGGGAGAGTCACAAAGTTGCAAAAAAAAGATTTTTTGACCCCTTCCTACAACTAACCCCACCACGCAAACCGTCAGATTAATATTTATCCGTTATCAGAAACACATGGTCGCTTACACTATTAATATCTGACACGCTCGAGTACTGTACACGCCTGTACACGCCGTAAAGCCTGTACACGCTCCCCCCACCACTGAAACGGCATACATCATATAACCTTTTTTTCTTTTTAGCATCTAATCTTCACAATCCAATAGGTCCCCACGCCGCTCGAGTAAATCCACATTTAGCCTCTCGGCCTCCCCTACTATATTATCCTTCTAACAAATAACACTTGACGTGAATATCTATCGTTACATCAAGTTTCGTTGAAATCGATTAGTATCTCGTCGTGAAATCTCCTTGTAAGTTAAATTCAAAGTTATTAACTTTTTTTAATTTTTAACGCTTTAACTAGAGAGAGATTTACTACTCAACCCTAGTATATACAATTTTAAGTTAAAAAAATAACCGATCAACCCAGTAATTACACATTCAAATTATAGTGTCAAAACCAGGGCTCGGTAAAGTAACTGATTTATTTAAAATAAAAAATATAAACTAAGTTGCAGAAACTTATTTAAAATATAAAATTGTAGGAGTCGGTAAAATAACTAATACGGCTTATTTGAAATAAAAAGTATAAAATAGGTTCCAGATACTTATTAAAAATATTAAATAAGAAATAAATCGCAAGAAATTATTTAAAATATAAAATAAGAAATAAGGCCCAAAAAAAGTCTCCGACCTCTAAGAAGCAAAATACCTATTGTCCCTAATCCCTCATTTTCTACCCTTGAGGTGATGGAGATTGTGGGTACAGAGTCAAATATGAATCCTGTTACGATACCCCTTCCGAGATCTCCTTTGGGGTTATCGGAATGGCTTGTTATCACAACTCAAAATAGATCTGATTATTTAATGACTCAAAAAGACAATAGATATAATGAACGCTCGGTTGCATCTTTTATAGTGATGGTGGAATCCAAATCGGGTGACACTGGTGAATTGTCATCCATCGGCAATTTACATCCGATGACAAATTATTGAATTCTAAGTTGAATGAGGTTGCCTTTGTTAATATTTTAAAAATTGAAAAGTCTAGTGCCAATGCTATAAAAATCAGTTTTGGATTATATCAGGAAGCCAATTCGTTTTTTGGGAAACGTTGACAGTTTTCCTAAAAATTGGATAACTTACATACCTAACTTTAAATTATACCGCTCGGGAGTGATAAGCAATGCTGATCTTTCCCTATCGGTAGAGGATATAACCAAGGGTGTGTCTTGGGTAAATAATTCTTTTGAAATTGTTCAAATTCAAAGATTAAAATTCTTTTCGGAGGAATCTAATTTTTTAGTAGATTCTAAGTTAATTAAAATCATCTTTAATGCTGGATATCTTCCGGAAATGATTTTTATTTGGAAGGTAAAATAAAAAATTTGGCCTTTGTCAATCGGGTTAGGAGATGCGTGATTTGTTCCTGTTGGGGTCATACGAGCAGGGTATGTAAGGGAAGGTTAACTTGCCCTTGTTGTGGGGATAACCATAATGAACCCGAATGTAGTTCTCATTCTTTGACCTGCAATAATTGTCGGAGGGACCATCAATCATTTAGCACTGTTTGCTCTGTTTTTGAATTTTATAAATTGATAAATTCAGTCTATGCTTATGCCGGTGTGGACTCTCAGTTAACTAAGAAACTTATTAAAAAACACAAAATTAAAAATGTTAAAGAAGTTGAAGAATTATTTCATCATCAAGCATATGATGTCGGGAGATGGATGAAAAAGAGGCTTACCCTTACCTTTATTCGTATACTCCTGGCCCATATCTGGATGTTCATTCAGGGACTCTAGAGAGAATTTCAGTTATGACTGACTCCAGACCAAATTATTCTGGGACGTATGCGTTTGATAAAAACAATACTAAAGCTGATAAAATCACCCCCTGGGTTAGGAAGAAAGGCTTGCTGAGGACACAAATCGGGAGTGATTTCCGGAATCGGTATCGTAGCCTTAATGCTGGGGAGGAGGACCGAGCTAATGCTATTAAGCCTGATGACTCGGTGTCAGTACTAATTCATTCGAAGAATCCTAAAGAGAGAAAATTACAGGAAGGTAAAACGACTTATGTCGGAGGGGACTCAACTATACCCTCTTGCTATGAGGCTACTCTCTCGTAAATTTATTGTACGCTTTTAAGATCTAATATTTCAAGAAATCAAAAGATTGTGGAGATCGCTAAAATTGTATTAAATTCCTTATTTGATTAATTATCCACATTATATTTCTAATAATTAATTGTTATAAGATCAATATTAAGTTTTCTTTTTAGATTTATCATGTTTTCAATTGTCCAATGGAACTGTAGAGGGATTCAATCAAAATTACATGAACTGTCAAATAAAATTAACAATTTTGATGCCATCTGTATTCAATAATTGTGGTTAAAGCCAAATTTTGTAACAGTTTTCAAGGATTTTACGGTTTTTCGTAATGATAGAATGAATTCTGAGGGGCGTTATGAGGGTAATAGCGGTGGAATGGCTATTATATGTAGAACAAGATAGGATCCTTCTGTTTTTAAATTATATTTTACAAATTCCAGGATTGGAACTACCAGCTGTGATTATAAACAGATTAAAACACTACAATAAAAAATTATTGCTTGTCTCTCTATATAGACCCAGATGTCAGAGTTAATTTGGAGGGGTGGAACTTTTTCTTTGATTATATTACTCCTTTAAAAGTCTCTTATAATATTATTATATGTGGGGATTTTAACGCTCAGCATTGTTTGTGGGGATCCTCCTCTCCCAATGAATGTGATAGATTCTTGGAGAGAGTTATTTTTAACTCTCCTTTTTTGATTCTTAATGATGGAGGTGGTACTAGAGTATCAGCCAATATTAATCACATAAGTATTCCTAACCTAACTCTGATATCTGATGAAATCCATTTCGTTTCTCAATGATTTATTCTGTCTGAGCTTTGGGGTAGCGACCATTTCTCTATTTTGATTAACATTCGTTTAAGTGGAGAGACTGACAATCTTTGGATATATTCTAGCCGACCTAAATTTAATTCTAGATACAAAAAGTTTTACAAATAAGTTATCAGATATATAAAATTAATTACTACAACACAACAATCTTTCAGGTGTAGAATCGATCAATATTTTAAATAACTTTATTTTGAATGCGTTTCTTGAAGCGGGAGGTCACTGTATAGAAAATTGTGGAAATAATATTGAATTTTATCACAATAAAGGTTACAGTATTATTATTAAACCAAAGCTTACAAATAAGCAGAAAGCTAAAAATAAACCGTGGGACAACGTGTTATGAGGAGGCAATAAGAGAGAGAGAGAGGAAATTAGCCTTTGATAAATTAAAGTCTCTTTCCTCCAGGGAAAATCTTATTGCTTACCGTCAATCCGCTTTAAAAGTTAGAAAAATTATTGCTATAAGAAAACGTGAAAATTTAAAAAAATTTGTAAATCAAGTTGACCGTAATATTTAAACTAAATCATTCTGGAAGATGATCAACAGGTTCAAAAATTGTTTGGCAAAGATTTTCCATATGACCACTCAATGGACAGTTTGATATGTCCTTTAATTGATAATTTGGCTCTTCCTTGGTGCTCGAATGAACCAGATCCCTCTAGAGTCTTACAATATATTCTGAAAGGTTATTCCCAGATTTTTATTTAAATACTGGCATGCGCCTCGCCGCACCACACGGAGGTGCCGTAGAATACGACTGACAGGATCGCGCCCATATAGGCCCTTCTCACGCCAGGGAGAATGCTTGGAGATTGAGCATCAGACCGTACAGTACATTGGTCTTTCTCCCCAACCCTGAAGCTATCGTCGAGAAGTGCTCGACGAAGCGGCAGCGATCATCCAGCTGGAGACCCAGATATTTAATCTTGAACTCCATCGAGACGTGGATGTCTCCTATTTTGATCCGGGCCGCGGGCGGCACCCCGCGAATTCCGTCATAGAAGACGAGAGCTTTCGTTTTCGTGGGGGCCACCCTCGTGAGACTCAGATCCTTAATTGCGCCGACGACGCAGGTAACCGCCACGTTGCCATTGGCGATCGCCCTTCCCCAGGAAGACCCCCCCGACCATCACGAGTATGTCCGCATAGCAGATGACGTGGCAGTCAAGGGGGAAGGCCATGCGCAGGACAGCGTCGTACGCGACGTTCCACAATAGGAGGCCCAACACAGACCATTGCGGAATGCCGCACGACATCTTCCTCCCGCGCACGAGTCCGGATTTGTCCCGGTACTCTAACCATCTATCCCGAAGATAGTCCTCCTACTATAGGTAGGGAGGCAGGAGATAATGCGTCTTCACCAGGGGATGGTGTTGAAGGCGTTGGAGATGTCGAGTGACATCGCCAACGCCACATCCCCTTCTGACGTGATGTGTCCCGAGAGAGTTCGAACTTGACGGATTGCGTCGATCGTCGACCTGCCGGAACCCAAACTGTCCCTCGGACAAATTGGGGCCGTCTCGGGATAGATGCCGGACGATACGGACAGCGATCACTCGCTCCAACATCTTCCCCGAAGTCCAGTAGGTAAATGAGCCTATACATGGAAGGACTGTTCGCTTGCCTTCCTTTCTCAGGAGAACAAGCCTAGCATTCTTCCATGTCTGGGGAAATCTGCCCTCCTTGAGGAATCTGGTAAAAGGTGCCTCAGTGGTAAAAGGTACGGTCATCAATTTCCAGGGTGGCCATACCCGGTTCGGGACTCCATCCGGGCCGGGGGCCCTGGGTCGCACCCTTAGGCAGGCGTAGACCACCGCCATCTCCTCTTCAGTTACCCCCATTTTCTCGGACCATCCCTCGGGGGTCCCGCGTAGGGCGGAATTTCCACCCCCCTAACTGGGAACAGGGTGTTCATGACTTCCTCCAGGAACTGGGGGTCAAGAACCTCGGTGGTTGGGGATGCCCATGGCCATAACTTGCCGGTCACAATTCTATAAGGGCGCACCCATGGGTCCCTATCCAGGAACCTCCCAGGCTCTGGCCCGTTTAATGCCGATCCTCAGAGCTTTGCGTGCTTCGCGTAGCTCCTCGGTTGCGTTTGCCAACTCGACCGGCTCATTGCGCTGCCGGGCCCGCGTATACCTTTTCCTGACGGCCACATAGGAGCGCCTTAACTCGGCCAGCTCCTGGGACCACAAGTACGAGGCCCGACGGCACATAGGGCGGCTGCATCGAGGTATCGCCCGTCCGTGTCAGAGCAAACCTAATCATGGTACATGGTTAATTAGGGTTAGGTTATATACCCATTTGCATCACGTGGTCAATTGCAACGTGGCCATTTGCAACATGGTCATTTGCAACTTGTGGTCAATCGAAACGTGGTCATTTGCAACTCGTGGTCAATCGCAATGTGGTCCTTTGCAACTCGTAGTCAATTGCAACGTGATCAATCACAACGTGGTCATTTGTAACTTGTGGTCAATCGAAACGTGGTCATTTACAACTCGTGGTCAATCGCAACGTGGTCATTTGCAACTCGTAGTCAATTGCAACGTGATCAATCGCAACGTGGTCATTTGTAACTTGTGGTCAATCGAAACATGGTCATTTACAACACGTGGTCAATTGCAACGTGACCATTTGCAACGTAACCAATTGCAACGTAACCAATTGCAACGTGGTCAATTGGGACAGTGGTCAAATGAGATGCTCCCGGCAACTTTGACTGAAACTGGTAGCGGATTGGCAGAATAACGTCTCGTAGCTGAATTTTAACTGCCTCTGCGTTCGCGAAGGGCCTCCTTTCATGTTCGAGAGTTAGTAGTGCCATGTGCAGGCCTCGCATATGTTAATGATCTAATTTAGGATTAGGATTAGGGGTATCGGTTGTGAATTGGATACTGGGATAAGTGTCTAAAACGGCATTAGTCATTCCCGTCATCAACCATTTGCCAAATGTTCAATAGTTTAGAGCTACATGTGTCAATTATTACAAACAACCGCTGTTTCAGTTTGTAAATCCCTAATCTATTTACTTCTTTTGTTCTTCGGGATAAAGTTTTCCTATTCGACACTTGGTTCGAATATATAATTCAACAACTTCGTCCCGAGTGGATTATTAGTCTATAAAGGCGAGTGTTATTCGGCTCGTCATTATTGCAACTTTCTATGGTAGAAACAGATGGTATACAGGTGGTACTCATTAAGAACTTTTATGATGATGACGAAAATTCTCCGAAGAAATCGAAGAAAAGAACTGTGAAGTTTGGACGTAATAAACTTGAAGAAATCACATAAGTAATAAACTTGAAAAAATCACCCCTTATACGAATATCATTCACAAGTCAGAAATCCCTTACAATTATCAATTAAAATATAAGAACTAATTTAATTGTTCGAATACAAATATCATAAGTGGCGATTCAATAAATAAGTTTTCAAATTCCGCCGATCAATTCATTAAATTGTTTCAAGAAAAGAATAACAATAACGTGGTTGTTTATACTGATGGTTCCAGATTGGTATCAAAGGATAATATCTATGTAGGAATGGTTAATTGGAGTACCAATGACTCTTTTACAGCGAATTTTAAACTTTTCGACAAGGCTTCTATTTTTACGACTGAAGCCACTACTATTGTTTTGAAACTAATTAGAGAATCAGATCTGAATAATTTTATAATTTTCTTGGATTTCTTGAGTGTTCTCAATGTTTTGTCTAATAGGAAAAACTTGAATTACGTTCCATGGTTAACCATATATCCCATTCTAGAGAGATTAGAAAGTGTCATAATGACATTGATTTAATTTATTCATACTGTATTTGTGATACTGTGCTTAAGACGTAATTACAAATGTAAAATGGCTATATACTGAAAGATAGACCAATAAACTAAATTATCTATCTATCTACTTAGTATTCACCGTCACTTTTCCTAACGAATCAGTAACATAACTGATACGATTTATTTAAAATAAAAAGCATAAAATAGGTTCCAGAAAATTATTTTAAAAAAGATAAAATCTGTAGAAAACTGATACAACTTGTTTAAAATAAAAAATATAAAATAAGTTCCAAAAATTTGATTAAAATATTAAATAAGAAATAGGTCAAAACAAATTATTTAAAATAATAAATACTAATTAAGTTTTTTATTATATACAGGGTGGACCATCTGAAGTGATCCAGTCAAATATCTCGAAAACTAGTAGGGATAGAGAAAAATGTTTCGTATGAAAAGTTTAGGGTTACACGGGGGAAGTATGGTACTGACCTTGAAAAATCCTTGGAAGGTCATTTTGAAGGTCATTCAGGGGTCACGATGGTTTTTTTAAATGGAACCCCTAGTTTTTCACCATGGGATGAGAAAGCTGGTTTCAAGCCCTTTACGAAACACTGGTTGTGGTCTACAATCCGCCTACTGTCCGAGTTATGGACCATCAAAGCCATTGATGAACTACTCTTAGCGCTACCCAGGAACAACGACGTGGACGTGGTAGTTCTCTGTTCCCTTCGAGGTGCTTGATTTTTGTGAGTCCCCTTGCCTCTCACATGTGGGGTGCTTGATTTTTGCGACTCTTCAACAGTTTTCGAGAGTCGATACTCATTCATAACTCTGATTGAATCAAATGGAATAATCCAAGAGATTTCCAATAGTAAATCGTTAACCGAACACATGACTGCCACCCATGATAAACAGAGACTCGGTGTTCTCGTTTGTTTATGTTTATGTTTTTCTTTTCAATGGAGTTAATTAACTGTTATCCCTATTCAAATGGCTCACAATCTTCGGAGAGCGAGAACAAGAATTCAACAACAAACGGAAACATCGAATCTCTGTTTATTACGGTTTGTTATTATATGGATGACCACGGCAATAAATGATCATTGAAACACAGGTTTCAAACTGTGGCAGTCACAATCGTTGTCTTCTCTTGCGTATTCAATCAAAGAAATGAACCACT